CACATAAGAACCAAAACAAGGTAGTAAATATAAGGTTGAATATTGAATAGGCTTATAAAATGCCTTGAATATATACTTTACCTTCCTCTAACAAATTATAAATTCGTTTAGCCTCATTTTCATCGTTGATTTCTCCATCAAATATTTCTTGAATTAAAGGTTTGGATCTTTGTTTTTCATCATGATTATTATTGGTTTTACTATTTAATTCCCGTATTAAAAAATCATCATTATGATCTTCATCAAGCCTTTGTTCAATTTCCATTTCAAGTAGCCCATTCAACTCATTAGTATTTTCATGATTAATATCATCATCATTATCGCCTTCAATAACTTCAATTAAAGGCTTTTCAATTTTCTTAACACTTTTTGGAGCTAAAAGTTTGGTCAATAAATCTAAATCTGGGAATTCCTCTCCAGGAGTTTCCTTTGGTATCTTTATATTCATTTCACCAGCTGCAATATCATACGAGGCATTAACTCGATCATCATCCACCAAATTGCCGGGAAAATGAAGCCTATTCGTGCAATAACATATTATTTTAAAAAAAATACTCAAAGCCGTTAATATATGGGATGATTATTAGGAAAATCAGGTTCTGGAATTTTTCAACAAAGAATTGATCATTTTAGTTTTGGATGTTATTAGATTAAAAATGCAGTAAGATCTTAATTTATTCAAAAATTCTCGAAACCCGAGTTTCCCAATATGGTAAAAGGTATAGGTTTATTACCTTAAATAATATGGTTTTGCATAGAAGGTAAAGTCCGAACCTTCACAGTAAAGTTCGATATCCGATACCTAATAATAATGAAGTAAGCCTCCTTTCAAAGTTTTTTTAATTCATTTAATATAACTTACCTTTATATAAGGAGTTTTAATAACGATTATGACAAGATTCGGGTCTTGTGTAATTGTAAAAACTGGTGTAATCATTGTTAATTTTTTATCATGCAAAGGCGGTTGAAAATTTTTATTCTGTATTCACGTGTAAATAATTAGTATGTGACGAATAATAATAGTGACAAATAGTAATTTTACCATATGTCTAACGGTCCCTAAATGTTACTTTAATATAATAATAATAATTGAACTTCATTTTATTTACTATCTTTTATAAAGCATCCTTTTACAAAACCATTATTATTTTTATTTTAGATAATTCTTATTTTCTATATTAAGTGATTCTTACAGGATAAATGTTATTGGTGAAACAATAATTTCTGATTTTTTAGTTTATTATTAAATATAATAATTAATTAAGGCTGCATTATTATTGTTTATTATTGGTAATAATAAATGATCTTTTAATTTATTTATTAGATATATTAGTGATTATTAATAAATTACTATATTATATATTAAAAGGAGGATTTCCAGGAAAATCAAGGTTCCGAGAAATCTTTGACTAAAATTAAGAGTTTAATCTAATAACAAACTAAAAAGCAATAAATCTCAATTTTGTTAACAAATTCCGGGAACCTGATTTTCCTAGTAATCAACCCATGTCAGTTTTAAGCGTATTTTTATATGTTTAAAACTATGTCTAAAATATTTAACATCGCAAAACCTATATTATTAAAAGATAGTAGTTATTATTAAGTAAAATAGATCATTACAACTAATTTTTTAAAAATTTTAAAATGATAATTAAAACCAAAAAAAAAACAAGTTTTATAACTAAATTACATAATTCCAATAATTTATATATTTATAAAACTTTTTACAATATCTATCATTTTGTATTAGGGACGGTAAAAAGTTGCAAAGGTTTTGAATGACCGAACGTTTGACTGATCCATTTAATGATCTGTTACCGACTATTGAACTGTAATATAATTTTAATTTTAATTTTAAATTTTTACTTTAACAATTCTAACATGACATTTGTTTATGACATCCTTATACAGTCAAATCTTTCTATATGCACCCTCTCTACAGTCCCAAGCATATAGAGATCATATAAAAAATTGCATATTCTCTTTATATGCACAATTTTTCAAATTCTCCAAGGGGATACATATACAGTACTGTATATTTGTGTTTGATTTACTTATTCTTTGTAGGATGCATTTTTCTCAATAACTTTTACCTTTCATATTGAGTGGTGCTGTATTCTCGCGAACTTTTTTTAAAATGATTGTTAATAAAATTAAGACTTATTTATTGGTCGGTCAAAATCGGTCCATATGTTATTTCAAAACTTTATTTAACCATTTTTATAAAAAACTCACGTTAATACTAAAGAATTTGTAAAGAAATTTTGCAAAATTCGTTATATTTATGCAGTTATAATAATTTCAAAGAGTTATTATTGTTTTCGTTTTAATATTTATTGTTTTTAATATAATATTATCACATTACACAAATTCTTTTGGATAATTGATGATTGTTTAACGTATTAGGAAACACAATTAATTAATAAATTGTTGCACCAAAATAGAAATCAACGAAAACAGAAATGCGCGTGAAAACAATTTCCACATTAGTTTTACAATATATATGCAGTATATTATCACTAATTTGGTTAAGGGGGTTAAGGGTGATCTTAATAAAATGGTGATTAATTAAAAATTATTTATTTTCTCTTTCACACAGTTTCGTTTCTCGATTCTTATATTTGATAATTAATTCTAGTTTAGTAAAAAAATTAATTCGAGCGAATGCATTATTATCGTTATTATTATTCGTAATATTAATTAATAAAGTATTTTAAATTTTTTTTTTTTTAAAAAAAATAAAATAAAATAAAATAACTAGTAAATAATGGGTAGTCAAGAAAACACAACAAATACCTCAGAAAAGGGTAGGCGGCTTGCCAAAGCACATTATCCTTCATATAAACGAGACAGATTACCAACCTTACAAGAGGTTGTTTTACGTAAAACAGCACCTCCAGTATGTTTATTCAACCTTTATCTTTATATGAGGGATGTAGAAAATGCTTCAGAGTATTTGGACTTTTATCTCGATATATTAGAACATGAGATCTTATGTAGAGCATATGTAAAAGACCTTAAAAAACTTGGATTAGATGTAAATACAGAATATCCCGAATATGAAAGATATAGACCGGGAGCATTTAAGACGGAAAAGGATAAATTAAAATTTAACAAACCAGTTAGTATAGAGAGTGGTGTTCAAAGGCAAATTAGTAATTCTTCTCGTGGTTCGGATAATACACTTAATTCTGGAAGTGACGTTCCTGAATCTACAATTGCACAAAAAACCTCAGCTACACATGTAGTTGAAATTCAAAATGACGGTAATAATGACAATAAACTAAAGCAATATCGAGATTCAGTTCGTTCAAATAAAACAAATACAACAGCAGGAAATCTTTCGCTTTGTAATCGTGAAAGACCATTCACAAGAGATGATCTTCGCGAATCAGCAGAAAGGATATTTTTTAAATATATATTTAGTGGATCTGAAAAAGAGATTTTCTTATCGAATGATATTAAAGAAAAAATTACTCGCGCTATAGAAGAAGAAGGTATTTTTCAACACAAAAGAGATGATCCTTGGATTTACCACGAGGCTAAAAAGGAAATTTATGCATTTATGGAAAAGGAATATTTCCCTAGATTTTTAATGGCGAGGGCATTTGGTAACATGAATGCCACACAAATTTTGATGAGATTAGGAATTGGTACATTCTTCTTATTTCTTGGTTTTGCCATAGCATTAAGTTTGATTTTCTTGAATATAATGCCAAGAACAGTTCGATTATGGGTATGTGTGATCTATGTATAATGGTTTGAATAAAAGGTTTTCTTTTATTTTTTTCTTTAAAAAATTTTGTTTCTTTTTTATTGCAGAGTTTCATTCCGATATTTTTGGGTGTGAAAAATTTATTTGTTTGTATAACGAAGCTGAGTCCGTTATTTGTCTTGTTAAGAATAAGGTAATAAGAGAGAATTCATGTGCATTTATTTTAAACTATTATTAAAATAAAATCATTTTTAAATTAGCGAAACGACATTCTTTCAATTTCAACGCGTAATGGAATCATATATATACACATTACATGTAAAGAAAGGAATAAGAATATTTTTACAAAGTTTAATAGTTTCTATAATTATTACAGCTATTTTTGTAGCAGTTCCAGGTCATCGGCTATAACCTTAATTCAATAATAAATAATAATAATAATAATAAGTAATGATAGAAATAATAAAATTTAATTAATTTTATTTAATTTTAAACAATTTTCTGAATCCGAAAAATGGTGGTTGTGAAAACCGTGTAATTTATAATGAGCGCGATACGTAGTTTATTTACATCATATGTATTATTTTGCTTTGGTAAATTACACTTTGATCGATTTATTCATATACTTTAGATAAAATAGTTTAAACTAGAAAAAAAGGAGAGAGATAAATCAAATTAGAAATTTCATAAATCATCTGAGGTAATCAATGTAAATAATATAATTCTATTGATTAATTGTAAATCTGATTCGTCTACTAGTACCATTAGATTATAAAAAGTTTTTAAATTCAAAAGACTTTGGGACTTTATTACTTTTATTAATTTTATTTAATACTTAATAATCTGACAACGATTCATGGTAAAATTTTTAAAGCTTTTCTTTCCGTGGAGATTCTAGGAATAAAAAAAAAAATCGAATTAGAAAAAATATATATATATTTCTTTAAAAATGAGGATAACATTTACCAGATCCCATTAGGCGAGGAGGACGTGGATTTGATGCCGAAGAAGAATCATTTGTATTAGGAGGAACGGTTCTTCCTAAACCCATAGGGCCAATTAATCCTGGCCTAATAACGGAACTTTTTGGACCCGCTGTCCCAACGGATGGCTCTCCACCACTCCTCTCCATTAATAAATAATGCATCTGCATTCTTAATCCATGACAAATGTTCTTTATGCTGTGGATTTCTTCTTGCATTCTCATTCCTTCTGTCATGA